GAGACTATGTTCCGGGGGCCGCGGTGGTTGCCTAGGGCTCTTTTGGGTCCACCACTTGCCCTAGGTTCCATATTTGTCAAGATGAGTAGCTTGCTAAGTAGAGGGCTCTCGTGGGGCACAGGCTGGGCACAGGCTGGGCGAGGGACCCGCATTCCTGCAGGAACTGCCGGGCGAAGATGGGTAGGTAGTTGCGAGGTGCTGTGTTGGGATGACATTTCCGGTGGCTGCTGTTAAGCGAGACTAAGCGGACAACGTGGGAGCAGGGAGTGCAGGGGGACGGACAGAGTCGGCGACCTTCTGCTCTTGGTTAGCATTGGATCGTGAAACGCCTGTCCAAATGCCGGGGTGAGAGATCGTCATGATTGGACGAGTCAGCACGCCTCCATGACAGCCGACCCCCTCTCATCCACGGCTGGTCCAGGTACATAGTAGGTCGTCCTTCGCGTCGCCCCTTTGCCTCTGGATACTGCCGGAGCCCGCCTCCGATGCATACGCAAGGCGCCTGCTATACGCAATTCGCAAATTAAGCAAAAGGGGAACCATCACAGCCACACACACACACGTGGTGATCTGATTGCACAATGCAATCGGGGGTGCGCCATTCGACCATGGAAACCAAGCCAAACCCTGTCCGAACCATGAATTGATTGAAAGCATTCCCGCTTATACCACATAGGAATGTCCCACGGCCGTGATCCCACGATGCTGGGAGATCGCCCTCAACCATCACCAGGACGTGAGCAGCCAATTGGAGACAGAACCAAAGACGCCATTGTTGGTGATGGTCGCACCCGGCCCTACTCTAGGTATCAATGTACCCAACTCACCTACTATGCATTCCTACCCTGTCGACAGTAGCAGCTGGCATCGATAGTTACATCCGCTACAGCAAGCGCGATACGCAACTGCTGCCCTACGATCCCTGCTTCCTCGACCCGCCCCAGCTTCAGCAGACACTCGTGGTAGCCGTGTAAAGCCCAGACGTTATTCGGATGCTGTCTTGCTCTAGGGAGAGTGTCATCAAACCCTAAATCAGCCTTGTAAGCCCCTGCTGCGTCTTCTATTCGGCCCTGCTCCATGAGCAACGCGGCATACGCATGTCTGGTCGGCTGCATCCAGGGCCATGGCTCTGCACTAAAGGGTCCCCATGTCAGTACACTCACACATCTTATCAACAAGGCGGAATTCCTACTAGGTAAGCGCGTCATCCCGGTCGATAGCTGTTTCGAGATGCTTGAAGGCCTCTTCAAAATTGCCCTTTCGGTACTCGAGCTCGCCATCCAGCATTGCTATACCAACCTTGAGCACTACATTGGATTTGTTTGGAAAGTCCCCGCAAATACGGGAGGACGGTATCCGCTCTACTGCCGCAACCAGGGCGGCACGTTCCTTCTGTGCCTTCTCGATATCACCAGTAGCGGCATAGGCAACTCCCTTGCCGTAATGAATCATCGCCGTTGTAACGCAATGCAAACTGGTATCGTCGGGCATTGGGAGCGCAATCAGTTCTGCCCATCGCCCAAAGCGCACTAGGACATGGACGTGTACCGATGAAAAGTTCTCGAGCCAGTCGGCCATGGGTGGGCTCTCAATGCGCAGAAGTGACACAGGTAGCGAGGCTTCCATGCGTTTGACGGCATCCATTGCAACCTTGTACTGCCCCGCAAACATTGCCGCGTATATGAGCGAATGATAGTCATGCATCATGTAAAATGAGTAGAAGTTCTGTGTTCCATGTTCGGCGACGTACTTTTCATCCGCCAAGCATGCATCTGCGTTCGAGTCAATGGCACGTCCGTAATCACCAACCAGGATCCAGATGTGACTCGGCATGTGGACCAGATGGCCGGCATCCGGGGTAACTTTTCTCAGACGATCTGCACAGGCTAATGCTGCTTCTGGGGTCTTTGACATTTCCATCAGATGGATGTACAAATGGAGTAGACCAGGGTGTTCCTGGGAGCTAACGTCTTGCAGGGCCTTTTCCAGTATGACCTTTGCCTTGGGTGCGTGTGATTCAGGGGTGGGTTCACCCGTTTTGAGATCCCACAGATTCCATGCTGAGAGATTCATGAGAGCATCCGCGTAGAGGCAAGTGATGTCGATATCGTCAGGGAACCGCTTATAAACATCTTCCATGGCTTTTGCGTACTCCTCATTACAGGCAACGAAGGCGGCTTCGTTCAGGTTCTTGGGAACACGTACCTGTATCGCGTCGATCAAGGCCCTTTCTGGATCCGTCCTACCGGGTGCATACTGTTTAGCTTTTTGATTTGCCTCGGCTATCTTCTCCAGTGTTGTCTTGAGCTCTTTCTCATCGAACAAGTCCCAAGGTTTATTGTAGTTCGGCCCGAGGGCAAAAGCGAGCTACCATGATCAGGTGTCAATCCGTGTGCTGTTCCGAGGTTCAGGTTGTATACATACACCCCAATATGCCATGGCGCACTCTGGGTCCTCTTTGATTGCTCTCCCGAAACACCGGGCGGACTCCTCGTGGTTGAACGCATAGCTCCAGATGAAGCCCCGGTCGAACCATGTTTGGGCGTGCGGGGTGGATGTGGTGATCTTTCGAGTATACGAACCAAGATCATATTGATAGGAGCTGGAGTTATGCATTATGGCCGACATTACAACACCAAGTATAAATTCGTTTTCCAGGTTAACGTGTTAGTGTTTGCTAGACAAATGGCTACGGGGAGCTGGATGTATGCCCCCCGCACTACCAGCTCACTCAAGCTTGGTCTAGCCTCATTGAGTCAGGCGCAATATGGCCATGTGTCGCTTAAACCTTCCGCGTTGCATACGACACGTCCTCGTTCGTGGCGTGGCTGTTGAATTTAAAGTTGGTTCTAAGCTATAGAGTTTTGTTACTCTGTGTATGCAGCCTCATGCCAAGTAAATGAGGAATAGGCGTCGCTGCGATCTCACCGCCTATCCCTTTCCAATTGCCGGCAATCATACGGCACAACAATCGTACGAGACAGCAACAGTGTTGAGTCGGTGCAATTCCGACCTCTTGGTTGACCGCCTAATCCATCGGTCCATTTGTTCTCTTTATCGCTTACGAAATGATATTTATCTTTTTCCAAATAGCAGTCCGTCTCCCAATTGGATGAGGGATGACCACAATATCAGCGCTTGAATGGTGACTGGCTAAAAGCTACAAAACATTGTGAATGAACGTTTTTATCACGGGCTTCACTCGTTTGATATACTATCATCAAAATCCTTACTTTGAGTTTGGCGTAGTGCGAACCACCGCAAATTCTATGGAACGATTTCAAACGCAGCATATACACGTCTAGCGACTAATGTGAACTTTCATCTTCTTGAGTAACTTACAACTTCGCTCTCTATGGATGCGATATGTTGTTACAGTCAATCGATGAATTATTTGCGAGTAGTTTCTAAATTTTCGAACGAGCAGCTTGGAAAATGTATTTGAGAAAATCTATATGGATTATCTTTATTTTTCCTAATTTAAAAACTAAATCCATCGAGCATTACAACAAAAACATTGCTGTCTCATTGGCACCAGCATGTTGCGCTCCCAGATGCCGCGCTAGCAATCCGTTACGTCACCCCACTTTGCTCCGATCGCAAGAACGACTCATCCGAGCACCTCGTCACGCGATTTCCACCCAAAAAGTCCCGTGATACCCTCCAATCCTTCTCCCCAATGCTAGAATCCTCCAATGCTTACATGTCGAATACAAAAACTCCTCTTTTACCGAAAAATCAGCACTAAAAAAACAACCTTCAGCCTCGTGAGCCACATACGCCATCAAAAATCCATATTCCAACAACACCAATACCGAGCATACGGCAGCAGCAGCAGCAGCAATAACAACAAAGACACAATGCTGCACTCTGCCACCGACTCGGCGAAAAAAATCTTCGCCCCAACCTCAAACTCCGACGACCCAGGCCACGCAACACAATACAACAAAGGCGCCCTCGACCGCGCAGACCTGCTCCCCTCCCCCACCGACCAATTCCACAAATGGTTCCAAGAAGCCCAGTCAAACAACGTCTACCAGCCCGAAACCGTCACTTTCTCCACCGCCGAGTTGCCTAGCGGTAAGGTCTCCGCCCGCGTCGTCTACATGAAGGAGCTCGACGACCGCGGCTTTGTCATCTACTCCAACTGGGACACGAGTCGTAAAGCGAGTGATGTGAGGAGTAATCCGCATGCGGCCCTGACGTTTCACTGGCGCGAGCTCGAGCGCCAGGTTAGGGTTGAAGGGCGCACGGAGCGGCTTACGGATGAGGAATCGCAGGTTTACTACGATACGCGGATTCGGGGCTCGCGGATTGGCGCGTGGGCGAGTCGGCAGAGCAGTGTGATTGAGAGTAGGGAGGAGTTGGAGAAGCGGGTCGAGGAGGTGGAGAAGAGGTTTGAGGGGAAAGACAAGATTCCTGTACCGGAGTTTTGGGGGGGTCTAAGGGTTGTGCCTGAGGTCGTGGAGTTTTGGCAAGGGAGGCCGAGCCGGTTGCATGATCGATTTGTGTATAGGAAGGTTGGGAGTGAGGGGACCAAGGATGCGGAGTGGAAGATCGAGAGGTTGAGTCCTTAGGTATAGAAGTAATGATTAATGCCATCTACGTTAATCCTGCACTTTTTTTTCATTAGAATGGGCTTCATTATCCTTGTCCCTCTTCCAATGCCCAGCTTGGGAATACTATAGAATACCGACCCTGACTCAACTCCTGCAATACAGAACTTGATATTGGAGGTGTTTTTGCAAGAAGCTTCATTTATCATCTACTTGTTGTATTGGTATTATGATTTCACCAATGAGAGTTACATAGCGACAGCCTTGTTCCTTTTTGATAGCCTACATTGGACTTCGGGCACTTTTACGCCAAAGATCCAGAAAGAAAAAGTGAAATCAAATACAAGAAAGAAATCAGGGACTCTCTAGATAGGGCCCTGAAAGTTTAAATAGCCCAGAAAACGTGGCAATCATTCAAATGAAATTCGTCCAATGTCAACGCATTTACTCTGCGTCTGACTCTGCTTCGGCAGTCTACAATATAGTTAGTTGTATTTCTCATTGAGATCTGTCATGGGGATTGCTTACGTTATCATGGAAGTTTGTTCCGTGTGTTGTCTCGTTGATGTAACCCTTTCTTATGACAAAGTCACCAAAGTGCTCGCCCTCATTCCTCTCCTTGGCGTATTGTTTGATCAACGGCTTCATGATCTCCAGAATCTCATCTTCCTTGATTGAGCTCCTATAGAGCTTGTTCAGCCTTTGGCCGTGGTAGCCACCACCAAGGTACATGTTGTACGCTCCGTAAGCCTTGCCGACGAATGCAACCTCGGCGAGCCAAGGACGGGCGCAACCGTTGGGACAACCCGTCATGCGCATGACAATGCTGTCTTGACGAAGGCCAGACTCTTCAAGCGTTCCCTCAAGCTTGGTGATGAGCTCGGGTAGGTAGCGTTCTGACTCAGCCATAGCGAGACCGCAAGTTGGGAAGGCAACGCAGGCGGAACTAGACAATCTCATTCCCGAGAAGTTGGTGTTGTCAAGCTTCCACTTCTTGAGAAGTTCCTTCATGGCTGGTAGGTCCTCATCTGCAACGTTGGCCAATATCAGATGTTGGTTACCAGTGAGACGGAACTCGCCCTTGTGTGCCTTGGCTACCTCTACGAGACCAGTCTTCATCGGGAAATCAGCAGTGTCCTCGATACGGCCGTTCTCAATGAAGAAGGTGAAGTGGTTGAGACCAAGCTCATCCTTTTGCCAACCGAAGGTATCAATGTTGCTTTGGAACTTGAAAGGCTTGGGCTCCGAAAACTTTTGACCCCAAAGATCCTCAACCTTTTGGATGAAGACGTCTAGGCCCATGTCATCAATCGTGTACTTGAGACGAGCGTGCTTTCGGTTCTTGCGGTCACCGTGGTCGCGCTGAACAAGCATGATCTTTTCGCAAACAAGATGCACTTGATCAGCTGCAACGTAGCCGAACATGGATCCAGTACGCGGGTAAGTCTTCTTGTTGTTGTGTGTTACACCCATACCACCACCGGCAAGCACATTGAAACCTGCAAGGTTGCCATCTTCGCCCTTGATAGCAATGAGACCAATGTCGTGGGCGTACACATCAGTATCGTTGTGTGGAGGAATAGCAATAGTGATCTTAAACTTTCGAGGAAGGTAGAGAGGACCATACAGCGGCTCGTGGTCCTGAACAGCCTCACCAGCGATCTTACGCTTCTGCTTTGTTTCATCATCCTCGAGCCAAATCTCGTGATATGCTGTTGTAGAAGGAAGAAGGTGATCGCTGATCTTCTGCGCGTAGCTGTGGACCTGACCGTGGTACTTGGACTGCGTAGGGAGAGAGCTGCACATGACATTTCGGTTAACATCACCACAAGCAGCAATGGTGGTCATCAAAGCCTTGTTGATGGCCTGCATAGCAGGCTTGAGCTTGCCCTTGACGACGCCATGGAACTGGAATGTTTGTCGGGTGGTCAGCTTCATGGTCTCGTTACCAAGCGTGCTGCTAATCTCGTCCATCTGTAGCCATTGTTTAGGCGTGGAAACACCTCCAGGAAGTCTGCATCGGATCATGAAAGAATAGGCTGGCTCAAGACCCTGGGCCTTGCGCTGGTCGCGGAGGTCACGGTCATCCTGCATATAGGTACCATGGAACTTTGTGAGCTGCTGGTCGCTTGCCGAAATGGCACCAGTGCTGGTATCAGCCAAGCCCTCCTCGATGGTACCTCGCAGGTAGTTTGAGGCAGCCTTCATGTCTTCGTTGGTAAGCGGCGCGGGCTCCTCTGGCAGGTTCTCAACATTGGAGACACCTAGCTTCTCCCAGAGCTTCGGCTCCCACTCGGCGTACGCGGTCTGGTAAGCATCTGGATCCTGGTCATCTCCAAGACCACAGTCGACTAGAGGCTTGCCACCTAGAGTGAGAAGACGAGCGTGGAGATCCTTTGCAGGCTTGTTGTAGTAGATCTTGTCCTCCTTGCGGGGCCAGTAATGGCTGTCACCAAGACCAAACACACCGAAGTTTACTGTCGCAAGATCTAGGTCAGTGGAGTCCTTGACGGCTTCCCAGAAGGCTCGGCCATTCTGAGGGAATTCTCCCTGACCAGCTACACTGGTCATCAAGACGACATTCTGCTCGTTGGGAAGATCCTCGAGTGGAAAGTCATCCATGGCCATGACAATGGTCTTGAGGCCTCTAGCCTTGCCTCGGTTTCCTAGCCTCTTTGCCAGATTCTCAGCGTTGCCATTGTCAGAAGCGAAGAGAATTGTCAGTGGGTCGCCTTGAAGACCTTCGAGTAGTTTGCTATAAGCGTCCTTGGCCTTGCGCTTCTGTAGCTGCCTGACTTCGGTTCCATATGATCCGGAGAGGTTAGATGCGAACTCAGGGTGTCGCTTCATGACCTGCGACATGTAGTTGTCGCGAGAGAGGAACTCCTCCAACTCTCTCTTGATGCGCTCAGAGTCCAGCTTGAAGTTCACTTCGCCCTTCTCCTCGGCCTTGGGGTCCCATCGGTAGAGTGGCCAGTATCCCAGGTCAACAGCCTTCTTGGTTTCTTGCAGGACAGTCAAAGGGGTGTCATTTTCCTTCTCGTATGGCAGATATGCGAGGACAACGGAGGGACCGTTGAACTTGTCGGCTTCAATCATGGCCTCCAGAACCTGAGTGTAGGAACTGTATACCGCAACCGATGCAACATATGCGTTACCGAAGTTCATAGCGTACAGCCCAATGTCCTTCTTCCGCCTCGCCGCATCAGCAGCAGCTCGCTCCGAGTAAGGGGTAGAGTCAATGATGAGCATGTTAACGTTCTCTCCAGATGCTAGCACATGGTGTACACCAGAATTTCCGAGGTCGTACGCCCAAGCATCAGATCCAATCAGCCAAGGTGATTCCTTGTAGAACAATTTCTTGGAAGAAAGTAGCTGGCTGGCAATAGGCGAACCATCAGTACTCAAGCGGGCAATGACCTCAGAAGCCAGTTCATTGGCCTTATCGGTGTCATCAGCGCTAAGAGCCCATTTGGAGAGCCATTGCTGCGGTGCTTGAGTGACGAACTTATTGTCTTTGGAAGCAGCAGCGGCCTCTTCAACAAATCGCTTTCGGTGCTCCTTGCGCGCAACGAGTGATCCAAAGCCATACTCTGGAGTAGATGCGATTTCGTTGGAGATGCCAGCGTGCTGTGATCCGAGCTGATTAGCTACGTGGAGTTTCTCACCAAAGACTTGGTTCAGGATTTTGATGTAGGCGTTCTCCAATGCTGGTTGCTCAATCTTCAAAGGCTGTGCCTCGGGTCCATCAAGGTTACCAATGACGAGGTTCTGAACAGGCGTCTCGCTCATAAGGTTCTGCCAAACACCGCGCATTGCCTGTGAAACAGTCTCCTCGTTAATGTAGCCCAATTGGTATCCAACGACTGTAGGAGATGCACCGCCACTCGCCTTGAGCGACATGAGGATATCGAGTAACACGGGACCCCACCTAGTGGTCTTTCTCCGAACTTGCTCAATAACGGCAATCCTCTTGAGAGAAGAAGGCAGCATAGGGGCAAGCGATGAGCCCAACCACGGGCGGTATAACCGAGCTGTGATGATAGCCGTGTTGGCATATGCCTTGGTCTCATCAACACTATCCAACTCGGTGGCAAAGACAGCGGTGTCGGCACCAAACAAGAAGATAGCAGCCTCCTCTTTGCCTGTACCTGAAAAGGCAAAGGCGTCGTAGCTTCTTCCAGTAGCCTCCCTTATGGTTGACCAGATTTGTGTAGCAAATCGGTAGATGTCTTCTGAGGAAACAGGTTTTGATATTAAGGACTCAACAGTGGTGGCTGAGGACACTGATGCGGCACTTGTGCTAGCCTCACGTTCTGATGATCCGGAGGAAGAGTCACCACGCTGGCTGTTTCTTTCCGAAGCCGGAAGCGACTTGCCTTGTTCTGGGGCACCGGCCAGTGCTGAAGTAGGAGCGGCATTGACGGCTTGGCTGCGGGCGAAACTTAGGGAAGGAGTCCTGCCATCATCCGCGTACAGCGAGGTCTCCTGGGACTTTGAGTTTTGGAAGGCCGCCACAGCATCCATGTCAATGACACTCCGGACCAGAGCTGCATCTTCCACCTCTACTGTCTTCCTGAATGCGCTCGCGCCAGAGTCGAAGAAGTGGATGACACCTTTGCCTGACTTGATGGCCAAGGCATGTGCTGTGAGGGCGAGATCTTGCAACTCCTGTAGAGTCTCAGACTGAATGAAGGCAAAGCCAGACTGCCTGATGGATGTGATGTCAGAGAAGTCAGGGTACCCTGAAGGCGCTACCGATACGTGTATAACGACAGGGTACTGGGCGAGTTTGTAGAGGTGGGGTATCGACTTGACAAGAATGGAGGAAGTTGTGGTCACGCTGGTGAGTTTGCCCGCGCGAACGGGCTGGAAGACTGAGAGGAGGGGGTCGGCATTTTGGCGGACGGTTACGACCTGAGGAAGAATGAGTAAATTGGGTTGTGTGAAATTAGTGGTTGTTCTGACATACCTCCGGAAGTGTCTTGGACACAACACTAGGCGCATTGTGCTTTTGGAGGCCCTTCAAGGCCTCTGAGAACTCGGACTCGGTCGAGAGGGAAGGAACGACGGATACAATTACGTCGGAGGCCTGGTGGGCGATTCGGGCCACTGCAAACGAATCGAGTTAGTATGAATCATGTCAAAAAGCAAAAAGCGAGTGTTCCCAATGGGGGTGTTGGGGTAGAACAATGGTGGGGCGCGTGGTTGCGGGGGAACATACCGGCCTCTCCTGCAGTCGAAATTGAGCCCATGTTGACTGCAGCGTTGCAAAGTAGACAGTAACAACGAGGGAATGATTATGCGGGAGACGAGCAGTTGTAATAGTAGTCGAGCTTCGGGTCGTCGGCGACAGTCCTCATAACCAGCGACAGCGGCAGTGGAAAAATTCCCTTTAAGAGGTCATGACAAGGTACGCCGAAAGCACGCAATATTTTAGTGCAATTCAGCGTCTGGGGCGACGTCGGACAGACGACGAATCAGATGCGGGTAGATTGTAGCTCGGGGTACTTGTTCCGACTAGGCTATGACGGCAGACTCGAGGCGATGCCAGTGCCGGCGTCATCTGTTAAATTCCCATCCGCAAAGCGGCCTTGGGAGGGTGGGAGTGCCGTATCTTCACCGTCAGTGTAATTCGCCATGGCATGCTTACTTTGCCCTGCGCTGAGTGGTCAGCCGATGCCGATGGCGCTAGACCGTATTCAGACGAACCGAGGATGGCAGCCGTTATCGATAAGCGAGGGTAGCCAACCTCCACCTGTTCGACTTGCAGGCAGTGTGACATACTGGCATCATGTGGTCTGAAACAGCACAGCACTCTCCGTACGACCAATCGTCGACACGGCTCCTCTCCTCCTGCTTCCGTAACCGCTTTCACCCGTCCCGGATGTTGACATTAGCGCGCCTATCGCAATGAAGTCTGCCTCTCCATTTCCAGATCCCCTCGTCTCCGACACCCCGCTGCCCCTGCATCAGTTGTGCGCCCGCATCAACGACCGCATAACCACTTTTCTCGACACCCAGAATGCATCCCAACGCGTGAAGAACGTACAGCAGCAGACGCAGACGTCGCTGCAAGTACTCGCGGAAGCCTTGGACCGTTATACGTACGTCTTGATAATGTGGGGCCCATCTGCTTATCTGGCTGACACCCATCCAGTCTCCCTGAGCTCTCTCTATCCTACAATGGCGGCAAGGACTGTCTTGTCCTACTCATACTCTACCTCTGCGCCATACACCGCCGCGGTTTGACCAAATCTCCAGATACCGCATCCAGCCCTGAGACCGTCGTCCAGTGCGTCTACATTCAAGACGCGCATCCCTTTCCCGAGGTCGAGGAGTTTGTCGCACACAGTAGTAAAATATACTCTTTGTCTCTTTTGGAATATGCGAAACCCATGAAAGCTGCTTTTACCGACTATCTGCGAGACCAACCCTCCGTTAAAGCGATACTTGTCGGAACCCGTCGGACCGACCCTCATGGCGAACATTTGAAGCATTTTGATCCAACCGACTCAGGATGGCCCGCGTTCGTGCGGATACATCCGGTCATAGACTGGCATTATGCTGAGATATGGACAGTATGTGCACATTCATCTTGACTCACTTTGTCTGGCTGACGCTGTACAGTTTATACGGTACCTCAACATACCGTATTGTTCTCTTTACGATCTTGGATACACCTCATTAGGTGGAACCACTGACACACATCCGAACCCGAAGCTGGAGCAGCAATCACCTCCACAACAAACACTGGAAGCTGAGAGTGAAAATGGGACATCAAAGCCCAAGTTTAGACCAGCCTATGAGCTGATAGATGATTATGAAGAGCGACTGGGGAGGGATAAATAGACATCAAAACGCAGAAGCGATTCGCATCTATACGCCATCATACGCGAAGCATCATTAATATATAGATTTTCGCATCATTCCACGTTGCATGCATGAATAGTCCATGACGCTCGTGCTTTCGAAAGGACTCTGAGAAAGCGGCTATCACAGTGACCTCTACCACCACATCCAACTATCAAACATCCAAATTTTTCCTGCAGTGGAAGATACAGACACCTGATGATGTATTTGCCATGGCTGACTTTTGTGCTCTCCAACCTTCAGCAATCACGCGACTGTTGGGCAGATACGCTCCGATGACTTACATCCAGGTTACACGCCACGATCAGCAGCAAACAGTACCCGATGCAACGATTGGTATGTTTCATCCGCCTATGTATGTCATAGTAAATACTTATGCATAAAACGTATGCAAGAACATATTGGCAACATATCTGCCGTTTCTTCACCGACAAACAAAGAACCAGGCCGCAGACATGGCGACCGTAGCATTTACTTCCCAAGATGGTAAAGATACCCTTTTCTCCATTACTGGGCATGCTATAAGGGGTTACCGTCTTGCCTGGATCGAACTGAAAGAACCAACAATCCCACATGGACACAGTGCTGAAGTAGATTTCAAATTACCCAATATTCACCATGGCTCTCCTAATTTCTTTCTTCATCCATATCTTACTAGCCCTCAACCACTACACAACCGCCTTCCCCACAGAATCCCACGAACTTATTCCAGGCCCCGGCCTCCCCACCCTCGCATCACTCAACCTGACCACATCCGACATCATCAATCTTCCTCTATCCATCATCGTACCCACAGGTAAAACATCTACCACAGCCAGCCCCGTCATTTGTACATGTATAGAGATTATCAAACTAACCACTCCGATTTAACCCCCCCTTAGGCCGAGAACCTCCCCAAAGAGGACCCCGGAAAGATCCCCAATGCGGACCCGAAGATGCATACACGAACGTCGACAGTCTCATCACCTGCTACAAGTATATAAAAAGATTGGGCACCGAGTATTGCGAATTCAGGCTTCGTGAAGTGAAGACGCTGTGTCGCATTGGGGGAGTTGGCGTGGTTGGGATTGGGATTGGGAAGGATGTTGAGAGGAGTTATTGGTGAGTATACTTTAACTGTCACGTTTCTCGCACACTCCTACATACATGGATATAGTCGGGGCTCTTAGTATACATGGCTGACTTGGTGGAATGTTTAGTTCGGATGTGGCGTTGGGACTTCTTACTGTTATTGATGGCTGTACGAGACCCGACCAGAGTGCTGCGGGCTTTGCTGCTGCGAATGGGAATGGGAATATTATTGTTGGGGGAACGAGGGTAGATTATATTATCCATCTCAAGAGTGTGGAAGCGTGGGGTTGATTAGTTTTGGGTAACTTGATAACGGTGGGAGTTGTTGTAGTGGGTTTTATGTGAACAAGATGTTTTTTTTCATTGATTCTATAATTCTACAGGAGCTATAAGGCTTGATCTTCAGTTCATAAAATATGATCGCATCCTTGAGAAACTTCAGTATCTAATGGTTTTGTATTTGACTGCTATTCTGTTTTGGAAAGTAGAGTGGGTACAAGAGGTTTGTCAGGATTCATCAAAATTTAAAGAGGAGAGTGTTTGAAGAGATCTTTTTGTACTAGAACTTAAGCCTCCTTACTGTATTATCAGAAGTAAAAAGTCGAATTTCTTTGATAAGACATAAAGAGTGCACCTAGTTCGTTGTTATCCTAGTTGATGGAGAGAAAGAGATTTAACCCGTTAGCTACTAGGTCTCCGTAGCAAGTAGGACAAGAACGAGAAATAAGAGACAACTACGCCATATCTCCCATTTGAATATAGTACGCGTTGTCTTGGAGCGTTTATCACCTCCTTCTGGACGGGTGCTCCACACATAACATGGTTGCCTTATCGAATTCTAAATAGTATTCGGACTTTCAGATCGGTGCTTTATGTATCTGTTGTTGTTTCCTTGTTTTATAACATACTTTGTATCCATGTCTGAGTACCTTTCGGGCCTTTTCTTACCTTGTTCGCTGGACACTCCATCACGGCGTCTTTGCCGATCTCCAAACCTGCACCTGACCACTTTACGTTTTATCAAGATCCCCTCAAGAAGAAGACGATCTTTTTGGACTTGCATTACCTGCCTCTTCTTTACTAGAAAATTTGTCCACTGCATGACTACCCACGCAGGAATAAATGGGTAGTCACACGCAAGTACTAATTGCTATGGGCCTCTATCTGCACAATGACGTGAGCCACGTGAAGTAATAGCATGATATTTGTTAAAGTGTGTTTAACAATTAGGCCGATTATTTAGATAAGCAGGGTTTCGACGACCAATCGGTACTCAAGTACCGAGATCATGGCTTGGTAGATACTCGATACGGAAGTATATGCGGGGAAGAAAATCGTCTTGTAGCAGATATATTATACGCTGTTGCCAGCTTCCTATCCAGTGAACCATGGGTTTTACGAGGTCACTAGGATAATTATTTTGAGCAACACTCCAAGGGATCATTATCAGCGAAACGACGAGACGTAGGACTATGGTCGCCCAATCATGTAGTATTTCGCTGACAATTTCTGCAGTTGATGCAAACAATAGGTCCGGCTGTGGTGGTATTCGGGTCCTTGATATCTTTTTTTCGGTGTAGTTTGTCGCCCTAACAAACGACGACAAGACTCACTACTGCAAGTGTCCTGTCAACAAGGCCATGCGTCCGAATGCATTGCCAACTGGTAAAAGCCATTGTGTTAGAGCATTCAAGGAAAGCCCAGGCAGTGGCAATTATTGGGCTAACAGGTTGTTGGCGATGAACAAGTTGCCGACATAGTCATTTGACTCGATAGCATCCATAAGGAAACCTTGAATGGGGGCCTAGAAGTCCGGAGCTGTCACCAAGCCATCTTGTTCGATTGTGGAAGCGAAAGGCTTTTGGTCGGACAACCAAGCATGGAGGCGTGTCCCTCGTGCTAAACATGTGTCGCCCCAGGGTTCAGGGCTGATGCGGACGGGTCGGTTAGGCCTCGGCCACTAAGATCGATCGCCTGCGCCCCGCGGCCCACTGCACACACCCACCCACACCCACACTACCTTTTGCTCCACAAGGCGCAGGCGTGCGTTAGCGTACGGCTAGGGCAATGCACTTCCGCCTCCATCTCCTTGTGGGGTCCTGTTGCCCCAATCGCCAACTATTGTGCCGCATGTAAACGTAAGACACGGCGAACAAGGTTTGACCTGACTTTCGCGATAATGGCTCATCGGGTGTGTCTGGTTCAGGGCCTTTGAGAAGAGGGTTTCCTGGCATCTCCTTCGCATAATGAAGGACATTTGCGTGTTTGAACGATTTTCTTTGCAAAATCAATATTCTTATTGCATCTCTCACGTTTCTTTAGTGCTTGTGCTGGTAAAGATCCAAAGTAATATTCGTAACATCTAAGGCTCTGGTCTATTAAATTACATGTACCCGTAATCAGAAAATAGCGGAAATGGATTCCAAATAACAGGTTTCGAGAATGCAGGATCAAGCATCTCGCTTATGATCGGAGGGGTGTGTAGCTGGTCGCTGTTTGCTGTCATGTTTCTTAGGACTGAAGGGATGCGCAGCTGGCGGCTGTTTGCTGTTATCTTTCTTCTGGTCAAAGTAGTGATACGCAACTGGTGGCGAGTCGCTGTCGCCGTACGCGTTTCCACCATAGTTCAGATACCCCTCGGCGCCCTTGTAAGGAATCGTTGCAATATCCTTGTAGTCGCCAAACACCCAAGCGCTCTGCATACCCATAATCATGTGCGGGATAATGTGACAATGCATCAACCAAACTCCTGGGGCCTTGACACGTATTCTCCAGCCCCTCCACGAATGTACCTCTCCAGCCACACCCTTGGGAGCGTACCGGTGCAACATTGTAGTATCACGTTTAACAGGGTTGTAGTTTGCCAACTTCTTCTCGTTCTCGACAGGATCGTATTTGCCCTTTCCGGTTCCGATGTCAAAGCAGTGATCGCCGTGTAAATGCATAGGGTGGTGATCCACCCCGCTGTTGTTGTTGACTAAACTGCCTGTGTTTTCGAGAATGATCTCGAGGACTTCTCCAAGCTTGGCAGGCCAAGTAAGAGTATATGGGTCCCAGTCGTTGTTTGCGAGTGCCGCGGTGTAATTTGGCATGGCGATCGGTCCATTCTTGTAAATATCTACCAGGTACGGGGGGCTGTTTTGCGGAGCATTTTCTGTCCAATTAAGGCCGTCCATTTGCCAAACGATTGAACCTTTCATGATTTGCTGATTGGTGATGTGGATGCGTCGCGTCACCTCAGATGCCTTGGGGAAGTCGTTAGGGGCCAAAGGCTCCAATGCGTACTCGAGGAAGTCGTATGTGTTGTTGGTGAGAACGAGAGGATTTGTTGCAGGTGGAGTAGTAATCTGGGTTCCGTTAATGCTGGGGTAGCGCAGAATGCCAAATCCAGTGTAGACAGCAGGTCGGTCTTTCGTCTCAAACTGGATGTAGTAATCAGTCTTGCCTGAGGCCTTAAGCTCAGCTACCGTCTTTGCACGAAAGAGTGCGTCGAAGCGCTGCCCGGTTGCTACCTGCATATAGCCGATCGGATGTGGTTTTGTGTAATGCCCATCTGCTGCAATGACTTCGAACTCGGAATGACCCTCGATGGCCAGTGAAACCATAGATATGACCCCGGCTCCTATAAATCTGAAGCGATAGACTTTCCCGGGCTCTACGTCAATAACTGGAAGCTGACAATGTCCCTGGCCAACCGTTGCATTTCTCGTCACACCAACTCCGTTAATTAGTACCGAGTCTACTTCGCCAACCCAGACAAATGGAACTGCCGTGAGACCATGCTCCAGTACTTCATCACTCTTCCTGTAGTAGTCTTGGAAGAAGACGAATCGCTCTTCGTCGTACGTAATTGGGGGTAATCCGAAATCCTCAACGATGAGCGGTCCAGTAGCAGAGATGGCTCCCATGTGCATATGGGTGTGGTAGAAATATGACCCCGCATCGTCCCATTCAGGATGTATCTCATAATCGAAACACTTGCCGGGTGCAATTCCCCACTGGCTGACGGGGGATCCGTCACTAAATGGAGCAGTACGTTGAGTAAGGCCATGCCAATGCTAAACTATGTTAGATAACTCTTTGAAAATTCGCATCAACACTCATACCATAGTTGTGTTGTAGTTATCCATGTGGTTGCAGACCCTCACCCAGCTCGTTTTCCCAGCTGGTAGTCGTAGCGCCGGTCCAGGGGATGTGCCATTCACCAACACAGACATGCGCTGCTCGCATGCTACATTCTGGAGTTCGCGTGTGACTGTAAGATAGAAATCGGGGTGAAAGCTATCGCCATGGGCGACCAAGCCGGTACCACGCGCAATAGTGGTACCATTTTCACAGGGCTCCTTGCCCACGACTGAATGCGTCACCGCCAATAGTAAACCAATTGCAAGGCGGGAAAACATCTCAAATGAATGGGTTGTTTAGTGAGAATAATGTGCTCAGGATCCACCAGTTATATATATCAAGCACAATCATTATAAATAAAGATTGCCATAGTTAGCCCTCCACATTCTGCCCCCCCCCTTGATAGATACATCTGCCTGTCGATCAGCTTGTCCCGACAGTGGCTCAACGACCCTAACGCTAGTGGCGGTAGGCCAGTGTGTGGGTCCGCCGGATACAGGCGCTCCCCAGAATCCACCGAGGCTGGACCGACGATCCTGCCATCTAGCGTGGAGTATCCTCGCATCTCGGGTTCTTCCACATCATGTATTTTACGGATACCTTTTCGTAGATACTGAGAGGAAAAACGACCGTCGCATTTACGTTGGTCCTACCTAGAGCACACAGTTGTTGTCAAGTCGTCACACCAAAATCTTGATGTTATTGAAGTACCGTCTAGCAAGTAAACTTTGAGTTCGGACCGAAGAAACGTCCCGACTCTCGTGCGGTCATGTCGCTCCAAGCACCGGTAATTACCCAAGAAAGACATGGATGAATTGGGCCGTCATGTTGAGCTAGCAGTCCTATGCTTGACACCCGCAAGCTTTGATCCAGACATCCACCCCCTTATCCTCCCGACCTCCTCTACACATACTACATTCCTACATTCACTCTACCACAGCATTTGCGACAGGTGATTCTTGCTGTACACACTCGCTTCCATTAAAATCTACTTCCATCGAAAAATGTTTAAATTAATTGTCGGTTCGTTTCTGGCCATGCAGATGACAGCACTTGCTGCGCCACAACAGCAATCCGGATCTAGCGGCGTACAAATCACGAGCTTGGAGAAGAATGCCACATCGACAATCGGTTCTGGAAATGTGGCGGCGGCGGGTAATCTCACTCCGTTTGGTGACATCGGCGTTGGCTGCGGTATCAACTGGAAGGCAGACACGTCTTACGGAGGTAAGCAGGTCACCAGATTACGCAATCCATGGCAACTGACACCGCGTGTTAGGTGGACTTCAAGCCGGCTCTAGCGACTTTGGCCTGGGTAGCGGGTTCACCATGACCCCTGGATTCATTAATATCGGTGCAGGTATTGGAATGAATACGGTGAACGCTAGTGCCAACATACAGTTCACGGGTTCAAAGAATGGCAGCGTAGAGCTCGTGTTCGAAAGCACATCTCCCGTAGTGTGCACGCCCGGAACCAGGGATGGCAAGTCGATTGTGACCTGCAAGACGATCAATGCTTAATGCAAAGCTTATACAAGCGTGATGTGGTGTTGATCAAAGAGACCTTGCAAATTTTTACGGGCCTTTAGTAAAACCGAACATAGCCAAATCACCGTCAATTGCTAGATTTTGGCTCGATGTATCTTCTATACCGATAACTACTTAATAAGGACATAATATTGGCTGGTTGTACATACTTGAACTCTTCTTCATTAGAACACTCTTCCATGCTAGATCTTGCCTTGATTCGTTATTTGACATGGCCATTGTGCATAGGATATCGATTTTATAACAGAACCGTAACCTCAGTCGTGGGTCCTACTACAACTGCGGGACAACTTTAGCGTTCAGGGTCTGTTCACTGCTCCGTTTGCTTACTCTTCTGGGCTTAGAGCTTCGACAGATGGGAAATAGCTAGCCTCGATCCAGACCGTGACAAAAGATAACGGAGGGACTTATTTCTTTTCACGAGAAGAGAATTTAGAGCAAATTACAACCAGACAGATCCTATTTGAGGGAATATACGAGTACTGATATTACGGGGCTTTATTTCATAGAACTTAGGCATTGCATTTCCAAAAACAATGCTATTTCTAGCTCCGTTTTCTAGAAGGAGCCCAGATTAAGTTCAGCAGACGAAAAACGGAGACAGAGGTGAACAGACTCTTACTTGAAGTTTAGCACTCTGACTTGGTGTTATACAAAAGGAACTTTCCTAGTGAACTGTTTGGTAAGATTGCCGTGTTGATGGCTTAGACGAACCAACCTTGGTTCAATGAAGCCATGAGTTGGCTTGGGCATGAAGCAAAATACAACGCCTATCTCGGTACCGGCGCCGATGCCGAATAGTTCACTGGATCAGTCAGGACGCTGGTCTTGTCGTAGCGGCATACCAAAGTAATGTGGGCTAGATTCTGCTTGTTTTTGTAGGCGCCGTCGAACCACTAGTTTTAGTACTATTTAGTATAATACCTAGGACAAATAAAACGCCCCAGGGGGCTGCTATACTGATATCGCCACCTCTACCAAGGCTGTTAACACAGTCGAACCGTCCAACCTGCATCTTAACGATATAGGTACATTCGACATCAGTCATCACCCCCTGGACAGAATAAAGTTTGAAATAAGCTTTCGCATCTGCTGCCTTGCTCCCGGAGTTCCCGGCATTGCTCATCCAGGCGGCTTTTATCTGACTTCTATAGCGGCCACCAGAGTTCATGAGATCATCACGGAATCTTGCGGGATCACAGCCGCCCCACGTGTCAGCACTGCCATGGGCGGGTCGTTGCATAAGACTTGCATAGCCATCTGCAAGTGTTTCAATCAATCTGACACTATCTAATCACAGTTTCGATTCCTCGCCTTGCGAAGAAACAAACGAGAGACACCTTTGTAAAGTTGGGTCGGCAGCCTCCCGAGCCGTTGCTGTCAGATGTCACGGCTAGTGAAAGTCGTAGGAACGATGCCCCAGATCCAATATGCCGTCTCTGACACGACCAAGGAAACTATGTTTAAGATTCCTGAACTTTACATGCATTGTCAAGTGAAAATTTACCCACAAGTTTGGGCAGTGGTAGTCTCGCAGAGCTTGTTCGCCGTTGTATCTACATACCATTCTTGATATCTCTTCCACACTCCATAGGCTGAATTTGTGACAGCCTTCCTATGTTTTATCTCTCTTGATTTTTTATTCTTGTTCCGACTTTCTCTTGGTGAATGAATAGGTCGTGGCTATCGCACCATCCCCAAAGCACACAGATTGTTTGGCGCTGTCTTAGGGGAAATTCGATCAAATCTTCCTTGCAAAACTCACTTCGAACATATTGTAATTCCCATACTCCGGCCTTTTCCGTGGTTTTTCTTAGCCGTTTGCTGAGCAGCGAAACCTTGATGAAGTTGCATGGAGGACCATGTAGATAGCCAAATTTGCAATTAAATGCAATCGGCGAGAATACAAACATGTTCGACTGAACTATCGACGGAAATACCTGACATTTGACTTGAATATGGTGTTTCCTGTTCTTTGTACTCGGTACTGGAAAGTACTACTAATTTAACACCCTGAAGAGGTCTGAGCTGGGGTGTTCAGACGAGCGAGATCATGGGTTTCTGTATCATAGCACCGCTACTGATAGCTTATCCTGGAAGGCAAGGTTCAAAAAATAGAGTTGAGGTGAAAATTCCCGCTCTTCTAATATTAGCACAAGTCATCCGTCTGATGCCCAATTAAGTTATTGCATGACCTCTAGTTATGCTTCTTGAAGAACCTCAGTTGCATCGCCTCCCCGCTCTTACGAACGAGATTAGTAAGAGATCTCGCCATGAAAAAGTTCGCATGAATCCATAGAAGGCATATGAAATCGGTCGGTCAGACAGTTGCGCGGATAGATGCAGGCTTGGTAGATACATGAAATGAGCATCTGTAGTTTTCCTCTTTATTTACCCAACGCTTACGTACGTCAACATCTCACAACTTCCGAAACTAGCAAAGTGAGTAAGCTTCATCTTACAAATGACGTCGGTTTCTCAACAGATTCACCGACACCCAAGTTCACATGCGCAACTGTGTTTGCTTGCTCACAGGTTCACCAAACGTTTCCATCCCAGAATTTGATGCGAAACCTGCTGTGGTAGTTAACGCGGAAATTTCTGCTGGCACAAGAGGAATAGATACTCCGATCCAATATGTGACTTGTATTCAACGTTCTAGACCTCGTTCCTGTGAACTTGGCTTTGGAAGAACCTCGATTAAGAAAACAGACCACAATCGAGTATACCTTAAGATGAGAAGGTGTACTGACAATTATGTTACACGGTTGGATACCATTCCTACGAAAAAAGCTAATATTATAGTAGGATCGTTCTCTGCAGTCAATATCACTCCGGCTGATTGAAACCGCCGTGACCACGGTGTTCAAAACGGAAAATATCGGTTTGACCTAAGAGGGAACAGACTATCAGTAATCCTCTTTGCGTAGTTATTTTGTATGCTGAGCTAAAGATTGTATAGATTGTATCTAAACATTTCGTTGCGCAGCTCAAAGTTAAAGCGCTAATATCTAATTGCCGTTTTCACTAACAGCATCGGCATCTTCTTCTCTTCCGCCAATAAAAAAGGCAGAAATGATAGCAGTGAATGCACAGAGACCAGCCAGCACGGCATTCATATTTCCATATCCAATCTTTTCCCGCAGTAAACCAGCGATTAACGGACCTACAGTCAGCCCGCCGCTCCAGACCATACTATTGATGCCATATAGTTGCGCATATGGCGCTTGTTCAAACAATTCTTTGTTCGCTTTGTAGTACTTCTCAACTACATTCCCTGCTTCGACGATACTAGGGCTGTTGATACTTGATAATCCCAGCCCGTTGGCTGCCAACAGACCAGCGTAGAGCGCAATAAGGTGTGGCTTGTCCAGTTCTTCGATAAGAGTCGACTCGGTTGGAAGGCGAAGTAATATAAGAGTGGGTATGAGCCAGGTAAATCCAAGGAAAGCCATTGGTTTGGTACCATAGCGGTCAACACACCATCCGAAAACAGGCCCAAGGAGAAAGTCGGCACCGCCAAGCGGCAGGAAGAGAAGCCCGGCTTTTAGACTGTTGAAGCCAAATTGTTCGGAAGCTACTAGAGGGATCGTAGCGTCGAAGGATCCCAGTAGCAGAGCCTGCATGAAGGCAATCCAGATGGAGGCTAGCAGGGCGGGGTTGCGTAGGAGCATGAGGATGGGGAAGTTGCGGGTAAATCGATTGGCTGGCTTGGGGAGATGGTAGCGGTTATCTGTGACGGTGCGGCTGGGTAAGAGGGGTGTTTCCTCGGTGTCTTCTTGAGTGCTATTTGGATCATGGACTGCTTCTGACTTGGGACTAGAGTACTTTGCCGCAACCTTCGTCTCTACCATGAGCGCTCTGAGGATGAAGTCTATCCCAATTAATCCAAGACCAATTCCAAAGACGCCCATATATCCAGTTTTCGCGTAGAGTACTCCTCCAGCAATTGGTGAAAATAGTCCAGCCACAGAAATGAAACTGAACAACGTGCCCATGGTTTTTCCCAAGTTCTCCTGTCCTACTGTCTCTACGACAATAGCGATACCAATGGTCCAGACAACACCTCCAGAAGCACCCTGCAGAATTCTCGCAGTGGCAAGGACGACCACACTACGTCCCAGAGCGAGCAGGACAGTAGATAAGAGGAGCATTATGAGTCCTAAAAGGAACGGTAGTTGTCGAGAGTTGGAGAACTTATCAGCCAATACTCCGGCTATTGGGGATGCTGCGCAAGATGCTGCCGCGTATACTGCAAGCAGATACGATATCGTACTTTGTATCTGTGAGTCGGGCATATCGATACGATCTTTTAGAAGAAAAGGGAGTACTGGGACGATAAGTCCATAGAGGAAAAGATCTACAAATGCTCCTGTGCCGACGGTAAGGACAACAAAGAATGGGTGCGACCGCCATTTGAGCCCGGGCGGTGCCGAGCAGCTTTTGAGGCCTATTAGGCTGGGCATATTCGATGCGAGGTCAAGCTATGAGGTATGGCGATATAAAAGGTTGAAGTAGTAGTACAGTCCATAGGAAATTCTAGATGGTTTCCGAGTTGTCCGTAGCTGCAGCATGCTTCCAATAAAAGTTTCCACACAAGGCTCGGATCTTCGAACATGGATACTGACGTCAACGTCCGAGCCAAGCCAATCACTATCGGGGATCTTCACGTTCAACGGACAAAAAAGAAGAACAATCTGGAGATATCTTCAGTAATCAAGAAGCCGCATTCACCGATAAATGGAATTTGAAATTCTGTATCTTATGCGACCAAACATCGACAAAGTCAGAGTTGTTCATAGCGACTAGTGCATGAAGAACATTGGCATGAACATACACAACTGCGTCGTCTCAGCCATTTAGTAGTGTCCAATTACATAGTATAGCGATGCGGATTGCTGCAAAGCCGCTCCCTCAAACGGTATACCAATGTAATATGGGCACGGACCACCGCCAATCATCTGTGAAGGCGGTATTGATCTCACGTGACTGCGTACACCAGCCTAGCGTGCTTGGCATGCCTGCCGAATCTAGGTTGTGGATAGCTTCACGTCTCGCTTGGAGCAATCACACCAAACACCAACTTTACTCTCGCCGCAGTCGCCTCAAGATGGCTGACAAGATGGAAGGTGTGCTAATGGGTGGCAGTCTCGTAGATCCTAACAAATACCCCGTTCCCATCGAAACGTAAGTGCAATCATGCCGAAAAGGTAGGTCCCTATGATGCTAACACAGAATTGTAGAATCTATGTGAGTTTAGGACTATGACACGCGCGTGGCAGTGCCTCTGTGCGCGTCACCTGTGGCGGCTTGAATGCTAACAAGAGTAGGTCAACAACCTCGAGGAGCGTGTCAAGATTGATACCATGAAACAAGCCTTGATCCGTGTATTCCAGTACTATGGGCCGATTCTCGACGTGATTGCTAAGAGCAGTCTCAAGCGCAAGGGTCAGGCATTCATCGTGTTCGATAGTGAGAAGGCAGCGCTGGAGGCTGTAGAGGACATGAATGGCTTCGAAATGTATGGAAAGGTCATGCGAGTGCACCGGGCCAAAACACACAGCGACGAAACGGTCAAGCGCAAGGCACCCGACATGTTCGAGGACCACAAGCGCAAGCGACTGACACTTAAGGGTACGATGCGCACCTTTTCGATACGTCGAGTGTTCTATGCTAAACTGCTACAGATTTCAAGCGTGCTGAAGAAGACGCGAAAGCGCAGGCCAATCCCGTCGCCGCCGAGAAGCCTCGCGCCGCCAAAACTGGAGCTGCCGCCGTTCCCGACGAATACGTGCGACCCAACAAGACGCTCTTTCTGCAGAACATCCCTCGCGATGTCGACGAGGACGACCTTACGACCATATTCGAGCGCTTCGAGGGCTTCAAGGAAGTGCGCCTCGTATCAGTTAGGGCCGTTGCCTTTGCCGAGTTCGAAAACGAGCAGTTTGCGATTACGGCAAAAGAGGCAACGGCGAATACCCCGATCGGCGCTGAGGGCAAACCCATGAAGGTCACATACCAGCGACAGCAGTAGGTTATTGCACGTGGATTTAAAATGCGTTGGATTTATTACTTCTGAGTTTATGCTTTTATGATACCTCGTTCAATAATGAACACCCGATGTGGGCCGACACAATAGATGTCTTGTTGTCTGAACGCTTACCATGGCATTGATATGATACAATACTTATATCTCCTCTAGAAAAGACAAAGAAGAGACCAGCTGGGTCGATATGATCTCCTGGGATGATAACGCTGTATCTGCATACTTGCAAGCTGAGACTTTCAAAAAGGAATACCGCCAACAGCAAGCTGAGTTGACGAAGGAAACAGAGGCTGAAACAGAGGCCGCAACAGAGGAGGAGGTCAATCTCGCAAAGGCAAGCGACGATTGAGTGCTCAGAAAATGACGTCCTCATTATCCTCATCGCCAAGCATGTCCTTGGTCTCGACAGCCTGCTGGGGTGCCTGGGTCTCCGCCTCTTGTGCTTCTTTTTTCTTTGCGACTCTTTCTGCTTCTTCGGCTGCAGCATCATTCTGCTTCTTCTTGGAGACCTTTTTCAGGCGGTAAAACTCTTCTCGGTCCAGCTCATCCAGCTCGGAGTTGATGTACTTGATGGTATTTTCGGTGCGGGGAATAATGACGTGCTCACTGGTAGTCGTCAGCTTGGGCAAATATTTCGGCGTTCAGGCGGACGATACTCACATGGCATTGACACGGCGGTTGACAACCTTAATTACCTCATCCAATATGACAAAGGCTGTCTGCAGACT